GTACGCATTGGAGGAGGAGTAAGAAAAATGCCTTTGATAAGGATATACTAGCCGTGGTTGACATGATGTACGTGGCTACATTTCCTTGAGAGAAGTTACGCGTAATGTTACTAGAGCTAAAAGGGGATGTTAATTCGGGGTACATTTTGAAGTTCTAGACTGATAAATTGTTCACTAGGTGGCCGAAGAGAAATGCTGAGATTCAAGTAAAAAGCGGAGGAGCGTTATATATATATGTGTGTGTAAATGATATCAGAGAGCTAATCCTAAGTCAAGTAACGGTAATCTGGTCAAAGTCTATTCAACAATGAATAAAGAAACAGCAATCCATAAGGACGGAGAAAGATACGAAAGCTTACAGGGAGTATCAAAACTTATCCAAACTGATTCCCACTTTATCTTGTTCAATACCGCTGCAGCGTTATCCAGACAATCGACATTAGCCTTTCCGGCCGGTGGGTCTGTGATATCCTCTGCGAGCGGAGATGGGCCCAATTTGGCGCGAGGCCGGTTGCTTGTTACAGCCCATCCTGGCCATGCAGCCATAACTTTGTATCTTACAGGATCCCGTCATGTCCACGGTGTCATGTCAGCTACAGATCTAAAAGAAATCGACCGGGGATTCCTAGGTATTCTAGAGAAATGTGAGCAGATTCCTTGGACCAATGATTCGTGGTGAAGCTGAAAGAGATTTCACCAGATCTTTGAAAAACGTCTATAAGTTCTCCATAGGCGCAGATTACGCGAAGTTCAGGTAAGACAGAGGGCTACACAACTCGCGAATCTGTGAATCTGTGCCCGAGGTATTTAGGATGTAAACCAGGGAAACTAAGTTACGAGTTGAAGCAAAAACTTCGAGTGTATCACCAAAGCTTTGGAAACGATCGATAACAGGACCTGGCGAGTCCCTGCCGGCAGATCGTGTTAAAATATTTCCCGTCAGGTGAAGTGCAATCTGTTGAGCTTGCCTGATAGATCGACAGTCTGTTAAGCTTTTCAAACAGATCAACAAGTAAGGTTTTCAAACAGATCGGCACTCAGACGTTTGGTCAAATCAGGTGCAATCTCGATTCTCGAGGCTTCCCTCAGTCGTTTACAAGAAAGTTCTTCATCGTTGATTTTTCTCTTAAACCCGTGCGTGTCCTGACTGTGGTAACTTATCATGTTTCAACGAATCCCCGCAACCCTATTGCAAAAAAGACATGCCCACACCTCACGGATATGACATCGATTTTTTTGGTATGTACATAGACTTTTCGGCTGAGGGCGCCTTCAACATAAGGTTAGCCTTGATTCCTAAGTCCGGAGAAGAGTTTGGCAATGCTTGCTGAATGACGAAAGAACGAAAGGTTATTGTTGCAAGCTGAGAGCCCGAGTGCTGGAAGAAGTATATATTTCAGGACAAGTGAAAGGTATAATTCAACAGGGCAAAATGGGTCCGAAAATCAAACACCCTGTTGGACTGAAAGAAGGATATAAGTGTGGTGATGTTTCATCAGGTATTGCGGGTATTTGCTGAATAATAAGATTGCAAGAACCACCTCATAACTTCAAGACAGATCAGGCCACCTACTGGTGATCAGATACTTGACCAGCTCTTTTGAAGATCGGGCTGAGCGTAATTGTAGACCAATATTGCTACTTTTTGATCTGTCCCCGAAGCACGTCACATATAGCACTGGAATCTTTCCATCCATAGTGACACGAAGTTGCCATATGGCGATATGTAAGTATCAAACAGTTCCTGAATGTGGGAAGGTATCTGTACTCTACTTCATGCTCCCCAGCTACAAATGCCATCAAGACTTTACTTGGCCCTTTCCTCTTGGCGGGTGACCATCGCACAGTCGGTGCGTTTGTAGAGTATTGACTCTTGTCATTGACACCTGTTGACACCTTTCCTGGGGGCTGACACCACGGGAATCAATTAGTCCAAACCCCGATTGAAGAGAGTTGCGGTGACCGGGTTCGCAACTTTCTTCAATCGCGGGTTTCGTTTGCCTTAGGTTTGCCATAGGTTTGCCAATTCCCCTCGAGTCAGCATGTCCTACAGTCAAGATCCCCTACATCATGGGTCGAGCGCAAGATCTAACATCATCAATCTTGTTGGGTATCCCCTCAACAGAATATCCTTCCACATCAGTCACCCCACGGGTTATCACTGTTCTTTGTCCCTCAGTATGAACAGAAATCCTCACAATCCCCTTTCAACCTTTGACCTTTCATTTGTAGGTATAACTCCCTATATATACTGTATGAAGTCGAGGTATATTGGATTTGCCGGATACAGGTATGCAGTCGTGGGTTAAGGGTGAGCTGTGAGTGTGGAAAGAAAGGCAAAAGGGTTCGACTCGGGTCAGCGGTCTCCAGAGTCCAGAGTGACATATAATACGCTGACTCGAGGGGAATCGGCAAACCTATGGCAAACCTAAGGCAAACAAAACCCGTGATTGAAGAAAGTTGCGAACCCGGTCACCGCAACTCTCTTCAATCGGAGTTCGGACTAATTGATTCCCGCGGTGTGAACTGTGATATGTTTATGTATGTGATTACCACTTCACACCAAAGGAACGACGTGTGGAGGTCTTCCATGGTATGTAAGAGCATCCGCACTCGTTTGCGGTTGTTAACTTGGTCATGTGCAGTAACAACCTCTACATTAAGTAAAAAATTACCTAACGCAACCAAATTCCACACTCGTGCCAAAATTACCCACACAGTAGTTAAGTAACTTGAGAGATAATTCAAGTTTCCACACTGATACAAAGGTTAAAGACTCAAAATACGCCAAACAACTGAATTGATCACCTTTGCAATCAATCAGTGCATTCCAAGTGATTCCTGCCAGGAAAGAGCTCTGGGACAGCAAACTTCAACTGATATTAACTTGAAATCTCATCACAGCTGGATGGTTGGCACAGAGAGGTTTATAGACAAGCAAATATTAAATTCATTTCATCATTAATTGAAAGAGATCATGTTGAAGACCATGGAGAATTTGAAAAGAAATGAAGATAATGAAGATCCTCTTGCATAGGTCCCCCCTGCAGTCGAATGCGAGTTTTTTTATCAAACCCTTTTGAAGTCGATCCAAACAATGAGAATTGTTTAAAATCCTTCTAAAATTCAAACAAACAATAAGAAATCGATCCATTTTGATCTAAAAACCTTGTAAAACCAACTCGAAGGATAAGAAATCGATCTCGATGGATCTAAATTATCACTAAACATCTATATGATCACATGGAAAGTAGAACAATCTTGATCAATATTGGATAAGCAGAATCAGACAGTAAGAAACTAGCTAGAAATACCATGAGTTTGAGGAACTAAAAGACAGTTTGATTTCCATTGATTCTCAATTCTGGTGTTTTGAGTCAAGAGAAGTCGAGTTGAGTTGGCGAGTTGGTGTGCTTGAAAGGTGAAGGGAGGGCTTGCGATTGGGCTACCGCATGCGTTAGCCAATTGGTAAATTTACCGATTTGCTAACACAAATCAATCAAAAGTTAACTACCGCGGGGCTAATTTTTCACCAGTGTGGGAAAGGCCCCGCAGTTGCGGTAAATTTTACCTTACCGCACGCGACTTACCGCATGAGTGCGGATGCTCTAAGAGCATCCACTATCGTTACAGTAAGAGCATCCGCACTGGTTTGCGGTTGTTAACTTGATCACGCACGGTAACAAACCCTACTTTAAGTAAAAAATTACTTAACTCGACTAAATTCCCCACTCGTTTGCATTAGCAGTGCTGTAACTGTTACAACTTTACAGATAATGCATGTGCTCCACACGGGTCATGCAGTAAGGTAACATTTTGATTTTTCAAGTACTAATCACCTGCTTTCATCACAAGTGTTAATATGATAGAGCCACTGTCCGCTTCTTTGGAGGACTGAAGTTGCTTTCACATTCTCCATCTACATAGATCCAATACTTGTTCATCTACCTGATCAGCAATTTTGATTTAAAAGGACAAAGTCAACATGACTTTGTTCAGCAACTCAATCGATCAATTCAAGTTCAAAAACCAAACGCTTGACTACATTGATCAAGCCTTTAATGAGTCTGAATACATGCAATTATGATCTTGTGAAAATATTAAAGATTCAAAGTTAAAAAAGAAAAATTGACGATCTGAACGATCTGAACAAATCCAAACTTTTCTTAATGATTTGTATCACTTGATCTTGAAAGTCCCCCATGATTAGTCTTTGAATGTTGATTTTCTTTCATTTGAACTGTACATGCTATATGAATGTTGACATTCTACATATTCATCTGATTGGTATGAAGTCAAGTTGAAGATATCTGATCGAGCTATTTTAATTAAAAAACACCAAAAATTGAAGATTGAAACAACATGAATCAGCATTGATTGTTCTTGATTTAGTTCATGTGACTGTGAGGCTTGGATTTCATCGTGTGTGGAAGGTGAATGTGGAAGGTGAAAAGGAGGTGTGGGTTGACTTTGGTGTTGGAGGTCGGGTTGAGTCTCGTTTTTGGAGTCGAAGTTGCTGTCAGCTAGTCGCGATGTGTGTTAATGCATGCGTTAGCCAATCGGTAAATTTACCGATTTGCTAACGCAAATTGATCAAAAGTTAACTACCGCGGGGCTAATTTTCCACCGGTGTGGAAAAGACCCCGCGGTTGCGTTAAATTTAACCTTACCGCACCCGATTTACCGCACGAGTGCGGATGCTCTAAATTTTCAGTAAATTTACTGGTCGTGTCTGTAAAGTACAGCGTCTGTACTTACAGAAGCACAGAATTCCACTATCGTTTCTGTAAACACCATTCTGCAGCATTTGGTACAGTGGATACTGTACAGAAAAGGCCTTGTCCCACAATCGTGCCTCCAGTAAAGAATCTGCAAGTCTGTTCAGACCTTGGCTCAAACACCAACAGCATTGTCCAATTATCCAGATTTACAAGATGCTGAGATCCATTGTTATCTGATGAATGATCTCAATGTTCACAACTGGGTGGCACAAGGGAACAATATTTGGACACTGACTCCATTTCATTGACTCGATGCCTTTGATTCCACTTTTCTTTACAAACTACTAGGAAGAAAAAGAGATAACAAGCAATGAAATCATAACAAATATCTGATAAGAGAAATATATCTTGAGTGATTGATTTGCGAAAACATTGTATGATGACATTGCAAAATCACACGATGTTTTCATTCGATCGATGAGACGGTGATTGAAATCGAAGAATATGTGATGGTAGAGGGTGATTTTGGGCAAGGTGGTGATGGATCTCGATGGATTCGCTCGATCGATGAGAGGGAAAACTAGATGTTTGATGAGAGCACGGAAAAGTTGATCGTCAAGAGGGTGATTGAAGTCGATAGGTATGTGACAGAGGTGGTGGTGTTGAGTGAGGTGGTGATGGATTTGCTCGGTAGATTCTGTAGATTTGGTGGATACCGATTCGGTAGAGATTCTGCAGAGGTCCAGTAGATTTACTGGAGCTCTACAGATTTTTGACCAATTCTGTAGGTACCGATGTGTACTTTGTACACGATTGGGGATTTTGAGGCTCGGTACTGTAAATTTCAGTAAAATTTACCGTACCGAGGCCGTTTACAGAGACGATAGTGGATGCTCTAAGAGTGGAAGGGGAAACTAGGCGCACATGTAAGAATTACATACACAACAAAGTTGCACGGGAGTCTCATAGATACAGGCAGAAGGAAGATGAAAATTTTTCCTTCTCCAGTCTACCACTCCCAATCCCCGCCTAGTCTCCCAGAAAGACAAGCTTTTGTAGTTTCTGTTAAGCTCAATACCTGAAGCTTAACCTTCTTTTCTTTTTTTTTGTTTATCACAATAAACTTCAACGGATTAACCTCACCAAATATCAATTATCACAGAAATCTCATACAAGACAAACACAGTAATAACTGAAAACAATCTCATCAACTAGAACTTCTGCAAATCCGATAATCAGAATATTTGCAAACCAGCAACAATGTCAACAACACCGAACAGTGACAAATTTCAGAAGAAGATTGATGAACAAGTCAGAGGTGATGCAGAAGAAGAAAGTAAAGGATTAGAAGGAAACAATCAGAGTAAAGGAGAAGGCAGAAGCAAAGGAGTTGGAAAACAAGATGAAGGTGCGGAAGGCGAAGAAACTGTAGAAGCAGGACAAGGAAAGAACCAAGATGTGAACAATCTGGGAGAACAAGAAGAAGGCAACGTCAAGGAAGGCGACAGCAAGACTGGCAAGCAAACACAAGGGAAGACACCCGCCACGAGGCAGTCAAAACGCAAGAATGGACAACCACCGGAACTGAACTCACAGACGGTAGGACCAGTTCAAATCAAGCGGCCGAAAGGGAAGAATGCCACCAACCCCCCTCAAGCCAATCCACCTTCAACAAACCCACCCCCTTCCAAAACCGCTCATCGGAACAACCTCCCTCCCAATAATCCCCCGAATAATCCCCAAAGCCCTCCTGCCAATAATCCCCCCCCAGCAACCACCCAGTTCATACTCAACAAACGAACCATCCCGCTAGATCAATCGCTGGAAATAAGCAGACCCAATACGATGAGTCGGAAGAAGAAAGTGATGATGACGATAGTAGATGGGTAGGAAATGAGACTAGAGTTCTCAGTGGTATCTATTTGGACAAAAACAGAAATGGTAAGCTTTGATTCATTGGAAACGAACAAAATAAAATTCTTCCAGAAATGGGAATGCCTCCACGGAGATGAAAAGAGACTCCCCCGGGAGAATGGAACATATCCAAAGAAAAACTCCCACGGGAGAAAGGAGTAGATCCAAATGGAAAAGATCCAAAAAGAAAAAAAAAGAGAAGAATAAACAAAACTAACGGGAATTGTATCATTGAAATTGTTGGATCAGAAATAAATGATCAACCGGAGATGGTAGCCCCATTGTCAATGGAAGATCGAATGAGCCAGAGGCTAGACAAAGAGATCGAGGCCGCTTTCATGGCTTGTAATTGAATTTTATATGATCAGTTGTCAGAAGAGAAGCGTAGATGGTCGGAATTCAACAACAAGAGCCAACTCGAAGTGCCAGAAGTTGCTGTGGAGAAGAGCACAAAGGAACTCAGCGCGAGAAAGAAGATAAAGGTGGTGAAAGGGAAAGAACTGACAAACGACCTAGCCGGTTTATCTCCCTACTGGGCAACGGCAATGAAAGATCTTTTGCGGTACATACCTCTGTCCATCTTTGACCCAACCTGGCTCCGTCAAGACTTGAATTTGACATCCAACAAATCCTCGCGTACAAAGACGAAAGACGCTGATTCTATTGCCTATAATGGTTCACCCGTGCCAAGCAAGTGGCGTACTACAGTCGCCCAATGGCATAGGCAGAAAGATTTGTTCCTTGAATATTTATTGTTCTACAAACATGATGAAGTAGCAGAATCAATGAAGGAACACTTTAAGAACGTCTTGGAAATACAGAAGGAGAATGATGGATGTTGGGTTGTCGCTTTCAGATACGACATCAAGATGAGACAGGCGTACCTTATTTTTCGGGTTGGAGAAGAGGAAGAGATGGCGGATATCGGAGTTAGGAATAGGAGTATCGAAAAGCGAGCTGAGTGAGCAACGCTGAAGAGGGGAGATGATCTGTACCTGGACAACCCCTATGCACACGGCCAAGCAAAGAGGAACATTGACCCCATCAATGGGGAGAATTGGGAAGGTCGAACGACGGCATGGGATGATCCCAGTAGAGGAGAGTCTAAAGAAGGAAAGAACAAAGTCAGCAAAGGCACCCAGTCGGTGAGATCAGCGCTATGGGCCCAAGCAAGAAACGAACCTCACACGGCTCCACTTACCGCGTCAACAACCTATCACGGACAAGCCCTAGCCCATCTTCCCGCCCAAACTTCCTATGTTGCCCCCTTCCATCCACCCACGCAACCAGCAAGTCATCGAGTTGGTATAAATCCGAATTACAAAGGTAACCCGGCGATTACATCCCTAATTATTGCCCCAACTTTAAAGGCGGTAGAGTTTTCTAATCAGAATTCCTTAGATA